AAAATTTTACCTACAATGGAAGATTGGAGATTGAAAGTTTCACACCTTGCTGAAATGGCAAAGATTTCAGCTTATCTGAAGAATCACTCAAATGAACAATTTTTATCTATATGGAGAAGATGGATTGTTTATATTCAAAAGAAGCATAGAATAGTGGAATATAATTTAGGTTTTTAATTAACTGGTCTTTTTTTCTTTTTTTTATATATATATCTCACTTATTCATGTAAAATTTATATACCTTGTGGAGTTAGAGATATTATTAATTGTTTACTTATATTTGAATATTATCCTGGGATTAGGTTTGGGAAGTCTCGGGGGGGGGTGGGTGGGGGATGTGGGTTTTATATTATATTGTGTTATATTTGTGATGTTTTTTTTTGTGATGAAAATAATAAAAATTTATATTGAAAAAAAAAAAAAATACCAACAAACATCAACGTCTGCCTATCCCAGGTCCTTGGGAAGGACTTGATAGGCAGGCAAAAATATCAAATCCAGTCTGAACATCTGACTGACTGTGTGACGAACCATAAAACCCAAAGTAGAAATAATAATAATAATAATAATAATAATGATAATGATAATGATAATGATAATGATAATAATAATAATAATAATAATAATAATAATAATAATTTAATAATAATAATAATAATAATAATAATAATAATAATAATAATAATAATAATAATAATAATAATAATAATTTAATAATAATAATAATTATTATTATTATTCTAGGCACATACCAGAAGGCACAATGAAAAAAAAAGTCATATGGCCATATATATTTTTTAGTTACAGAGAAAATAGAACTTATATCAATAAAAGTTCTATAGAAACCTGTACAGTAAACCTTATTAGAATTACTTACACAGAGAATATATATAGAATACAATAGAATTTTATCTTCTACAAAACTGTCTACAAATTCTTCTACCTATTCACTAGGTCAACCCCTTTCTTCAAATTACCGGTAATCAGTGTAGTGAAATGTTTAAGATGTTAGACGAGGGACATGAAAGTTCAAGTCCACCTTCAGCCATGGAAGGTCAATGATTTGTCTGATTCAATCACACTTTCTCAACCTAACAATTTCATAGGCTTGTTATTGTTGTGGGGATAAATCGGGAGAAGGGAAAACTACATAGTCTACTTTAAACCCTTGAAAAAGAGGGAGGATATAGCTTAAATAAATAAATAAGAGACAAGACAGCAGATAAACATCTAAAGAACAGATCAAGAAGAGATATCTTACACTGACACAAGAATAAATTACACTTTATTAAAAAATTATTCCAAATGTAATATGGATCTCCCTCTCTCTTTTGGTAACAGTGTTTGTACCAGTTGATTTATTGCCACTTTAATCAAATTTACTTGCAGAGAAGTGGCTACGCAGTTTATATCTGAACATGTACCCTGATGAAAAGAAAATTACTATAGTATCTGGAGAACTCTCAGTAATACTGAAAACAATGAATAGTGTGAAATTAAGCCATCATTCATTGCTTTCATCAATAAAATATAATAGCAATAAAATTATTTATACCTGTTCTTGTTAAAGAGCTACTTTTGGGGACGTTGGTACTTCTTTGAGGAGTCCCTTCCAAAAGATTATGTAGGCTAGGAAAACTTCCAGTCAAATAGCTAAGTAAACTCTCTTTTCTTGGGCTTTCTTTAACAAGTTGCCCAGAACGACCAACATGCACTGGTGAGTCTGTAGCTGTATCTCCACTAGTATAGCTCAGAGAATGATATGGATGAATACCCTGAAAAGCAAATATATACAGAATGTTAATATAATCACAAGAAACCAACTCCAATACATATCCATTGCTAATCCCCACTAAATTTAATCTGTTTTCTGCCCAGATTTCTTCACAGTATAAGAAATCTGTGGCGATCACCAGAACTTAACCTAAATAAAACTCTAGCTGGAGACGAAGTGGTAAATGTATTATTATTTGTTCATATTTTAATTATGAGTACTAAGATCTAGATATAAAATTATACACGTGGGTATTTTTTCTTCAACAAAAAAGTATGTTACATATATAATATAAAATTTCATACTGATGAGGAATAAAACAGATTTACCTTTATTTTAAGGCCAGAATCACTATGAGTATGAGTCTTTGATAATTTCCTCATAATCTCAGCACCAGTTACAGGCCCAGCAGGAGGTGGGGGGCGTGTACCACTTCCTTCCAAAAGCATCGTATGTTCACTGACAGTAGCTAAAACATTCAGCAAATGGAGAAATTAACAAGAGGATAAATCTAGCCAAGACAATTAGTTACTAAAATAGATATTACTTAGCTTCCTACAAATTCTTATTAATATTGGGTATACAAAATTCAGGAAAAATACTGAAATTTGAATCATCTCATTCAGTGTCTCTTAGGTACAATCATAATAAATATATTGGACTCTTTTTACAAGTACTTTTGATTAAACAACTTCCCTGCCAATTTACATTAATCATACAGATAGTCTTCGACTTACGATCACAATGGAGCCCAACATTTTCTTGGCTAAGCAAGGCAGCTGTTAAGTGAATTTTGTCCCATTTTATATCCCTTTTCCATAGTTCCGCAGTTGTTGTGAGTCTTACGGTTGTTAATTGAATTCAACCTCCCCCATTGAAGTTAAACTAATGATTGTAAATCAAGGACTACCTGTACTTTAGAAGAACTTTACAAGATTTTTTATTAGAGTGCATACATTATATTGCAGGGGTCCCCAACCTCCAGGCTGCAGCCCACTACTGGGCCTTGAGCCATTCAGAAACAGGCCATGGAAGTGGCAAGAGTGCGTGCGCCTGCATCTTCATTTGTACAAACAGCGGGCAAGCGTGTGTGCACCATTTGCGCGAGCGGCGTGCGTGTCCACCATTTGCACAAATGGAGCTGCCCATACTCGCTTGCCCGTCGCTCGCACGGACCCATCCCTTCTCTCCCTCCCCCCACCAGTCTGCAAAGCTGGGAAAGTTGGGGAACTCTGTTATATTGTATATGTAATTTTTTCAAAACTTCCAAGGATTTTTTTATATCTGTTTATTTTCCAGAATAATTAAAATGTAAATGATCACAATTAAAAAGTTACTTCAATTTATTTATTTATTTATTTATTTATTAAATTTCTATCCCGCCCTTCTCCCAGCGGACTCAGGGCGGCTTACAGCCATCTAAAACAGGTACAAATACAAAATACTAAATTTAAAATGTAATTAAAATAGAATATTAAATTATTGGCCTTTTCTTTTTTAAAATTATTTTAAAACCAAATTAAGATCACCCTTAGGCCA